TGAACTTTTGAATTCAAAGTGGGGATATTTAAGGAATTTCGCCTTTTTAAATAACTTCAAATTTTACTAAACAACTTGAAAAACTCCAAAAACAAACTTTGTACAACTCGACAAGCTCTACAACTTTGCTTTAAGACTCAACCCCAAAATGTGCTTCGATTTTGAAATGGGTTTTCAGGGTCGGATTTAAATATTGAAAATCAGGGTTTTCGAAATTTCAAATCAATACAAAGATTTCAAACTTGATTCAAACAATACCAAGCCATACTTATAACATAAATATAAACTTGTTTTAGTAAATGCATATCAAAGTTTACAATATGACCAATGCCTTGCAATGCATATGATGATATGTCCAATTTTTAATACTTAAACACCCAGAGTGTTACAGAGAGGCTCATGGCTATGTGTGTGCAAGAGGAGAAGAGAATGAAAGCTGCCAATGGTGGCTCTATCAATTATTTGAAAGACAATAAGAAAAAGAATCCTAATGCTAACTTCTTCTCAAAGTCAAAGGGAAAGGGTCCCATGCTGCATCAGCCTCAGCAAAACAAGTTCACAGTAGAGAAAGATCAATGTCTCTACTGCAAGAAGACGGGACATTATAAGAAAGATTGTCCTGATTACTTAAAGATGATCATGGCAAAGAAAGATGAGAACATTATTATGTTCATAAATGAATCCCTATATGTACAGTATTCGAAATCTACTTGGTGGATTGACTCAGGTGCAACTGTTCATGTTGCTAATTATTTACAGGGATTCCATTCGGCGAGGACTACAGAAAGAAGCGAAAGACACGTTAAAGTAGCAAATGGAGTCCGGGTAGAAGTTGAAGCCATTGGCGATCTTTCTCTAGAGCTTGCTGATGGTTTCAAACTTATACTTAGAGATGTTCTTTATGTTCCCTCGTTACAGAGAAACTTAATAAGTGTTACATGCTTGGACAATGATGGATATGATTGCCATTTTGGAAATGGCAAATGTAAGATAACATTTAATAATGCATGTGTTGGTCTTGCTATCTTACAAAATGAGCTTTATTTGTTATCACTACATGATGATGTGAATGTTGTATGCGATAATGAGAACGTTGCGTGCGACAATGTAAATGTATCCTCATCTACGGATGTAAACAGAAAATGAAAGAGAGCTCATGATGCATTATCGAAATTATGGCACTGTCGTTTAGGCCATATTTCGAGGGGGAGAATAGAAAGACTAGTTAAGAATGATATTCTTCCTCCATTAGAGCTCTCAGATTTAGAACAATGCAGAGAATGCATTAAAGGAAAGTATGTAAAGAAAATTAAGAAAGATGCCAAACGAAGTGCAGGAATTCTACAGATTATTCACATAGACATCTATGGTCCATTTCCTATAAAGAGTGTGGATGATTATGATTCATTCATAACATTCACAAATGATTACTCCCGTTATGGCTACATTTATCCAATCAAAGAAAGAATAGAAGCATTGGATAAATTTAAGATATTTAAGACAGAAGTTGAAAACCAACACAATTTAAAGATTAAGATAGTCAGGTCCGACCGTGGGAGGGAGTACTACGGTCGGCATACCCCATATGGCCAAGTTCCTAGACCTTTTGCAAGGTTCTTACAGGAGAATGGCATAGTAGCCCAGTATTCTACACCAGACGAACCTCAGCAGAATGGAGTAGCTGAATGGCGCAATCATACCCTGATGGATATGGTGCGCAGTATGATAAGTTACTCCACCTTACCGATGAGCCTGTGAATGGAGGCGTTAAAAACCGTCATTTATATTCTCAATAGAGTACCAAGTAAGTCGGTGCCCAAAACACCATATGAATTATGGACAGGAAGAGTACCCTCACTAAACCACTTACGTGTGGGGGGGAGTCCTGCTAAGGCTAAAGTATTTAACCCAAATATTGGGAAGTTAGATCCCAAAACAGTTAGTTGCCATTTCATTGGCTACCCAGAAAAGTCAAAAGGTTTTCGTTTCTACTGTCCAGATAGACACACAAAGTTTGTAAAAACGAGACACACTGTCTTCCTAGAGGATGAAATGATGAGGGGGAGCATGGTAGCTCGAGAAATTGACCTTGAAGAGAAGCGAGTGTATGCGCCCACTCCGATGATTCATGAGCCATTTTTCTCAGTACCTGCTGTCGCTGCACCAATAGTGCAAGATACTATGGTGTCAGCACCTGTTGTTATTCCGCCTGTGACAACAATGAATGATGATGAGGAACATGTTTTTCAGGATCCTGTAGAACCTATTGCCACAAATGAGGGGGAGCAACAACAGCCTCAAACAGAAGATGTGCCAAATGTGGAGGCCCCTAAAAGGTCTCAAAGAGTTAGAAAATCAGCTATTCCTGCTGACTATGAAGTGTACAACACTAAGGAATTTCCAATGGAGGATGATCCCACCTAATTTGAAGAAGCCATGAGAAGTGATCATTCATCAAAGTGGCTTGAGGCCATGGAAGATGAAATAAAATCTATGAATGCCAATAAAGTTTGGGATTTGGAAATAATTCCTAAAGGAGCCAAAACAGTAGGCTGTAAATGGGTCTACAAAACAAAACTTGACTCTCAAGGGAATATAGAGAGATATAAAGTACGACTTGTGGTAAAAGGCTTTATGCAAAGAGAAGGGATTGATTACAATGAGACATTTTCTCCAGTCTCATATAAGGATTCCTTCAGAATCATAATGGCATTAGTGGCACATTACGATTTAGAATTACATCAGATGGATGTAAAGATGGCATTTCTCAACAGGGACTTGGAGGGAAATGTTTACATGGCACAACCGAAAGGTTTTGTCATAGAAGGAAAAGAACGAATGGGATGCCGCCTAAAGAAATCCATTTATGGATTAAAACAAGCTTTAAGACAGTGGTACTTGAAGTTTGATCAGACAATAAGAAATTTTGGGTTTAAAGAGAATGTAGAGGACAATTGTGTCTATACAAAGTTTAAGAATGGGAAGTTCATCTTCCTTGTCCTGTATGTGGATGATATCTTACTTACTAGTAGTGATGTCAGTCTACTACTGGAGACAAAGAAGTTTTTGTCCTCGAAATTTGATATGAAAGATCTTGGTGAAGCTTCGTTCGTTCTAGGGATCGAGATTCACCGAGATAGAAGTAAAGGGGTATTAGGACTGTCACAAAAGGCATACATAGAGAAAATCTTAAAGAAATTCAGTATGCACAAATGTAGTCCCTCACCTGCTCCTATAGTCAAGGGCGACAGATATGGAGATTTTCAATACCCTAGGAACCAATATGAGATCGATCAAATGAAAGCGGTTCCATATGCTTCAGCTGTCGGAAGCTTGCAATATGCTTAAGTATGTACGCGCTCTGACTTGGCATTTGTTACCGGGTTACTTGGCAGATTCTAGAGCAATCCTAGAATAGAACACTGGAAATTAGTAAAGAAAGTCTTGCGTTATTTACGAGAAATGAAAGGCCTCATGATGACGTATAGAAGATCTGATTCACTCCATATAGTAGGGAATTCAGATTCTCATTATGCGGGAGATGATAAAAAATCCACGTCTGGATATGTATTCACTCTCGCAGAGAGAGCTATTTCATGGAAAAGCTCAAAACAAACCGTCACTACATCGTCCACAATGTATGCCGAGTTTGTAGCATGTTATGAGGCAATGGGGCAGGTGAACTGGCTAAAGAAGTTCATACCTGGTTTGAAGGTGGTTGACGACATCTATAGACCACTTAAGTTATACTACGATAATAATCCGGCAGTACAGTATGCTCACAACAATAAGTCAAGTGGTGCTGCCAAACATATTGACATAAAGTATTATGTTGTGAAAGATAAAGTCCAGGATCAAGTCATAAGTCTTGAGCATATAAGTACCGAAAAGATGCTCACGGATCCGCTTACAAAAGGCTTACCACCCAACATATTCAGAGAACATGTAGCCGGCATGGGTTTAAGGGAAAGCCTATAATTCCTGAACAAAAGAAGGCCTAAAGATAAATATCTATTTTAGAATAGAGTAGTGTGTTGTAGCTGTTAAATCTATCGGTAATGGACCGTGACGATGAGGCATGCTCTATGCGCTAATCTGTAATGGAATAAACAAAAGTAAATGATGTGAAAGTGAAAGATGGAAAGAGATCAAGGGGGAGATTGTTAGGTTGATCTCTAATCCTAACTGGACCCAACGGCCTAGTTGGGCCTTTGATTCGCGCCCTGATCAGGGACACCTAGCCCACCATGGCTGGAGGCCCCTGTCACCCTGCACTATAAAAAGAGGTGGGGGCCGGCGGCTCTTCTCACGAGGTTGACCTGAGCCGAGCTCCCCACCGACATCTAAACCCTAATCCGATCAAAGAGGGGCGCAGCCAATGACGGGAAACCACCAGCCGCGCCACCCGCTCCATCGACGTCGATGTCTTCACCGCCCTCTTCACCGACCGTCGCTGCCCATGCGCAGACATCACAACGAACCTGATGGCGTCCGCTGAACCTTCCCCCTCTGAGGTGTCAGGTTCAGCACCCTCTCCCTTCCATCTCTGTCTCTCTAGTTCTACATGCATTAGGATATACTACGTTCTTTATCCCGAATAGAACCACTGTACCTAGCTAGATGTATGGTCCAGCTTCAATTCCGGGATCAAACGGGGCCTTAAGCATATAGCAAAACTGCGGCAATTCAATCGCAAGTACAAGAATACACTGGAGGCGTACATGTACACATTAACAAAAACATCGATCGCCCATAGTAATCAACACACTCTGAAGAAGTCTGAACAACTCAACTCCCAAAGTCTGAAGACAGACTCCTAGTGCATAGGAGCAATGTCCAAATAGCTGGCCGTTTCAATTCCATGGCACCTTCCGTGGGTCCAGCTCCAGCAGCAAGCCAAGCCAAGCCATCTCCCAAGGCTTGGTAGCTCTCGGTCACGTTGTCGCTCAGCACCGCGCCGTCCAGCATGTCGATGGCTCGCTCATACTTCGTCTCTATACCTGTACGCCTGCGTCGTGGCCGCGGACCCGTCGAGCACGTCGTGGTCTCTGACGAGCATCCACCCCACGGCGGCCTGCTCGTCCACCACCTTCGTCTCGCCATCAAACAGCCCCTCGGCCTCGGCGTCTGTCTCGACGCTCAGGGAGTGCATTAGGTTCGCCCGCATCACGTAGGTGCCATTCTCGCCGTCCTCCGTCACCATCTCTAGCCACAGCGGGTACTTGGCCTCCGTCTCCACCTTGCCGACCTCCTTCCGTGTCTCCGACGACCGGACGACGACCTCCGTGTCCTGCTCCACCTGTAGCCGGACCGGACCGTCTTGTTCCTGCCCTGGCTAGTGAACTCCACCAGGCTTGTCGCCTCCAGCTCCGTCTCCACGTCCGTTGTGAAGTTGCCGAACGACGAATTCACCCACCCGCTGAACCGGGACTTCCTCTTGGCACGGATCTCGAACCTCCCGTCCAGGGGTCGCCGGGTGTAGTACCGGCGGGAGATGGACAGACGCGGTGTCGTGTACCGGCTGAGCGCGGCCGACACATTCGACGAAGCGGGGTCCAGCCACAGGTGCAGGTTGGCGTCAACGAGCCACTCGGCGATGCCGTCCACTACGCTTAGGACGATCTCGTGCGCCTTGCCGTCGACCAGGAGCCCCAGGAACGGGGTCAGCTCGACGTCGTAGGTCGGGAGGTCGAAGGCGCCCAGCGCCACCACCGGCTGCCAGAACAGTGGGTTGATGCCGCCCGTGTAGATCACGGGGAACGGGACGAACGAGCCGGCGAAGTGTCGGTCCACGCTCACGACGACCTCGCGGTACGCGGCGTTGCCCCGCCCGGTGGTGAGGTTGTTCTCGCGGATGTAGAGGCCCGGCGGGTTGGAATACCAGAACTCGTCATTTGAGTGCGGGGACACGAAGACCTCTAGGACTGTGCGGTAGGTGTTCGATGGAATGCTCACAAGCTTGGACCGTGAATCGGACGAATTCTGGATGCGGAACCAGAAGCCACTGATGTTGCCCGTGCCCTCCGAGATTGGCAGGATCAGGTCTGCCGGCTGGAAGTACGATGCCGGCAGTTTTGGTGTCGCCTGGCCGGGGTCCGTAGAGCCTGCAGCTGTGGAGGACCCCGCGTCGACGAGGTAAGCAGGGGCGCCATGGAACTCGAGGGACACGCTGATGTTGTATACACCGGTGTACAGGTCATTGACGAGGTTCTCCAGCATGACAGAAAGCACGCCGCCGGGCGGGGACCGGAGCAGCCCGGAGTAGCGGGTGACGTCCTTGCGGACGGTCCAGCGGACGCCGTCGGGGGTGGGCTCGGCTGTGGTGGTGCGGAGGAGCTCGGCGCCGTCGAGCCAGACGGCCGCGACGCGGTCGTACTGGTCACCGGCAATGGCGATGGAGAAGGAGAGAACGACGAGGAACCAGGGTGCAGGGCACCCGGCCGGCGGCACATACGCGGCCTTGGCGGGGGCGCGCCGTAGGTGTTGGCGAAGGAGTAGGAGAGCATCGGCACTACGCAGGTCGGCGCCACCGGCGGGGGCCGCGGGACTGGGTAGGTGGGGTCAAGATACTCCTGCGCTGGCGCATTACTGAGCCCCGTTCTGGTGCCCGAGCCCGCACGCGGGGAGCCATTCTGCTGCATCTTGAGCTGCTGTGGCAACTAGCGAGGCGAGATGCGTGCGAGCTAGTCCTGTCCGGCTGGTCCCCCTTCTTGGCTCAAAGGGGAGGGACAGAGGACTAGGGATGAAAGTGAGAACGGGAAATCCCCCTACTGACCGACACTGAATACCGGAATTCCCAACCGGATATTATTTTCTCGGGAAAAAATGGATTTTGAAAGAAATCCGAGAAAATTCGGCGAATCCGAGATCGAAATCGGTTAGAGTGATTTCCCAACTGAATTAGCGGATCCCGTATTTGCTTAGGAAAAATCCCGAGGGGAAATTCCCATTTTTGCAAACGGCCCAACCCACCGAGCCAAGACTCAACTGCCCCACCCAGTTGCCCACCGCCCCTTCGGTCTGCTTTATAGCTCACATGCGCACCCACCGGTGATTCGCTTGGTGAGGTGGGACTAAATGCACCAGCTGGCGCCTGGCCTCTGTGCATCAGAAGAGAGGAGGCAAGCTGACGAGTCATGCATGCGGCCCATCATTCCATGCTTGGCCCAGGAATTCACGCATGGAGCAGCAAGGTTTGGCCCTTTATTCATTTTTCTTTTCCATTTTCTTTTTTTGGTAGTTCTGTAGTTTTCTTTGCTTAAATATTCTGACGAGCTCATTGTTTGCATATGGATTATGCATGGTTGCTATTGTTGCATCGAGCTCACTGTTTCAAGTGGTTACATATATCGATGTTTCCGTTTTGTGTTACCGCTTCCCGATCGTAATCGACACGTTCCTGTTCGAAATATTCCGTTCCCGATATCCCGTAATACCAGATTCGTTTTCCTGTCCGGCCTTCCCGTTCCCGTCCCCGTTCCCGTTCCCGGCCAAAAAATACAGGAACGGGAATGGTTAAGACATTTTTCCGACCGTTTTCATCCCTACAGAGGACCGAGGGAAACACAGAGTGGAATCGCTGATTTCTTCAGATCATCGTTGAATAATCCGAGATTTATAATTAGCTGATAAAAGAATTGTATTCTATTTTGCGTGTTGAAATTATGACATTTAAATTTCTCCAATTCAATGGCAGAATTCCCTTACCTGTCCATCTAAAATGCATAACTTTATCGTACAAACTCAGAGTGGAGATAAAATTCATATAAAAAATTGTAGAGCTCCATCAGATATGTAATTTTATACTTCCTTACAACTTTTTGTTTAAATCCATCTCCATGCTGAAATAATCGATGCAATATTTAGATCTAGAAATACATATATTAAGGTTCTACCATTTAGTTCGCCATTGAGATGGCTTCAAACGAAAAAAAATGAGTTACAAAGTTACATATCTCATCGAGCACTATAGTTTAATATAAATTTTATATTCAATGGAAAATTCAAATTTTATAATATAAGCTACTATATGGTGAATAAATAGTCCTAGTTTAATACTTTATTAATCCAGTCGCTAGCCAAGTGCTAACATGCTAGCTATTTTGGTTGCCCACCTTATCAATAAGGCAAAATTGGCTACGAGACATTGAAAGTGCAGTCATATTGTTAGTGCACAAAAAAAGTTCAATTAGCTGGTGGACACTCCTGTTTGTGACAAATTTACTAAAAGACATCATGTCTATTAGAAATGTTCATTTATTGCTTAGGAGGAGAGAGAACAACAATGAGTATCATTTTTGCCCATGTTCATTTCTTCTTCCTCCCTCTCTTCTATTAGTTCTCTCACCTTTCTCTCTCTAATACACCACGTCTTCCCTTGGCACAACGGTGGTGGACTTCGCCAATGAGGTAGCTGGTGTTGTCGGGGAGGATTTTGATACTGATGTTGTGCTGCTCATAGCGATGATGGCGCCCGCGACCACGAATACGACCTTGCTAGCATTGTGTGACAGGGGGTGGAAGCAACGTGTTGTGGTCGACGGTGAGGATGCAGACAAGGGATTTCGCAGCATCAAAATGGGAGATGGAGTGGCGTATGCATGCGCTTCTCGGTGATCTTCTCCATTAAAACAAGGTATTGGGCATTGTAATTGCCGCAAGATGGTTGCTCCAGTGATTGCTGGGGTTGGCGCCACCATTGGAGTGGAGGGTGTGGTCACCATGGTGGTGGACTGGTGGTCTACATTGGCAACCATCGTGGCCATAGTTGTGGCAAAATACTCTAGCAAAGCAGTTGACGCTGATGACGACGACAACTGAATTGAAGAAGCAGCTGACACATGAGGTGCGATGCCAGCTTCGTCTCCATTATCATTCGCATCAGCCTCTCCATATTCTGAGAGAGAGAGAGAGCGTCAAAAGCCGTACCCATGGGGTCAACAACAGTGGAAGGCGTGGACACCCATGAAGCCATAGCACTCGATTCAGGACCAAGCCACATGATGTCGACAAGCACGATGAACAATAGGGAAAATACAGGTAGAACTTGTGGAGGATTTGAGACTCTTGATATCAATTATCACAATCCTAGATTGCCAATCTTAACAATATGAACAATTGATAGTTTGAGGATACAATCTCTAGAGGACTAGAGTGAAATTACACAAAGAATAACAAGGAATCAAGGGAGGCAGCAAAGAATAGGCATAGAGGGAGTGTTCGGCTGGTCGTTTCAGCCAGCTTATTTGCTGGCTTATAAGCCATGGTACAGTATTTTTCTCTCTCAAAAAATCAGCCATACAAATCAGCACCAGTGGCTTTACCACCAGCCGAACACTCCCCTTGAATAGAGGAGGAAGGTGACTTCGGTTCTCTTTTCAATCTCTTCTTCCACCGCTATAGCTTCCTTTTGTAGCTTAAGCTATCTTGATTGATTTGGGCTAAAAGCCCACTCGCTATGCCATCCGTTTGTCGAGTATTATTGTAACACCTTTGGTGTTACGTCCTAAACAAATTACCAAAACATGTCATGAGCATCATGTTTTTGTGATAATGTATGTGATGGAATGTGTAGATAACATTTTTGTAAATTAAGATGATCAATAAAAATGTTAAATGAGAAGCTATTACACAACTCATGTATATCAAGTAGGGTTTAAAACTAATTTTTATTGAACAAAAATACTATAGAACATATATGTGGCACTTAAATAAAGTTTGGAGTATGAACTTTGTAGATGACAATGAAATACTTGCTGTGGAAAAATAACATTGCTAGCTAACATTTCTAATAGCCTAAAAATGGAACTTGAAATCAAATTCAGCTCAAGGACTTAGAAGAATTTAAGTATATATATACAACAAGACAATGCCATGTTTGGCAATTTATTTTGTGAAAGTTAAGAGATGGTGTCATGTTTTAGCTCAGGTTGGTAGCCTGATATGCTCTCTTGAGCATAGTGAAGATGGTTTAGGCTCAAGAGTAACCGTTTAGTTGTTACAGGCGCTTTAAATTTCGTGCGCGACACGCTCTTGGGTTGGTTGGCCGGGTGGGCGCGATCACCACGTCCCGGGGGCGCGACGTCGCCTCACTAGCTCACCCGACATGTGCACGCCCGCTGCCACACGAGGTTGCTGTCATCGTGGTGCCATGCTGCGCTGATGCTGCTCATCTTGCCACTGCGCGCACGTGGGCTGTCCTGCCGCACCACCGACCCGCCCTGCGCCGCGACGCAGTTGCTGCCAGTGTCGTCGCCTAACCATCACGTTCGTGCCTCCCTCTACACCCCTACATTGCCGCTGGCCCGGTTAGATGCCGCGCGCACGTGGCCGAACTCACCATCGCCATGCCATTTATGGCACTGCGCCTGCGTGGGCCATGTCGGTCAATGGACGCACGCACTTGTCCAATTGAGTCCGCGCGCGTAACAACCCGATCACGCCAGCCACGTCCCGCCAAGGTGAGACTGAGTAAGTCCACTTGTTGCCCCGTCTCCCTCTTTCCCTCTACTGCCGCCGTCGGAGCCACGCCGGCACGTTACACAGCGAGAGGTCATCTACAATCAATTCTACCCATCTATGGCCCCGCCACTGAGTTCTCTAGCTGCACAACCCTACCTAGCCATGAAGCACGCACTGCCAAGCTCTAATTTGTAGCTTTCCCCGCCGCCGTGTTGATAAGGCCACGATCGGCCGTGGTTGAGGGCAGCCCTCCTACCGCCACCCAGAGGCAATTCACCTGCACTACTAGCTTCGCCTTGCCTCCCTATCCACCTTGCGCACGCCTGAGGAACCGCTACCGCCTCCCAGTCATCGCTGACGCGACCGTATTGCCGTGGTGCGCCGCCGCACAGCGCAGCCACACGTGGCCAGCCCTTCTCCATCACCCTCTTCTCCAACCATCACCTCAGCTAGGTCCATGGTAGTCTACTGATGCTCACTCGCTAGCCGGTTTGGTCCTTAGGTGCTCTGGTTCACCGGAGCAGGCGCGCCACTGTAACACCCTCGGTGTTACGCACTAAACAAACTACTAAATCATGTCATGAGCACCATGTTTATGTAATAATGCATGTGATAGAAGGTGTTGATAAATTTCTTGTAGCCTAAAATAACCAATAGAAATGTTAAATAGAAATTTATTCAATAACTCATGGTATGTCAAGTAGGGTGGAAAACTAATTTTTATTGAGCGAAAGTATTATAGAACATGTGTGTGAGACCTGAATAAGGTTTGAAGTACAAACTTTGTAGATGACAATGCAACTCTTGCTATAGAAAAATAATATGACTAGCTAGTATTTCTAATGGCTTAGAAATAGAACTTGAAGTCAAATTCAACTCAAGACTTGGAAGAAATTTTAAGTTTGAAAACAGTGTGACAATGCCATGTTGGTGAATTAATTCTAGATAATCTAGCTAAAGGTCAATGCTGTGTTTTTCCTCCTTATGGTAGACTGATGTACCCTCGTTAGCATGGTCGAGGTAGTTTAGCTTCAACTGTGTTAGGTTAGTTTTAGATGAGCTTTAAAATTCGTGCATGACATATGTCTGGCCCATGCGCATGGTCACCTCGCGCGGTCGCTCGGCATCGCGCGGCTGGCCACGTTCCGCGCGCCACAGTGCCGAGCCTGGTCGGCCTATA